ATTAGTTGACGGATTGGCTTGACAGGTAGGTAGTATGTTATTATTTATCGATGTGAAAACTGATGCCATCATTATCATCATCGTACAGCGTTAAACAGTAGAGCAAGCCCCACTGACCACTGCCTTTCTCACCATCTTGCACGTTGAGTTAGAAAGTATGAATATACAAGATGGACTGGGAGTGGACCTACATGCGTGGGAAAATGAAAGAATGCCCTAGTGGCCAACACACGGAATACACAGTCTAACTGTTCAAACCCGCATCGATCAGTCATTCTGATTCGATAGAAAGTAACAACACGATCTCCACTGTTCGCAGTTCGCAGCCATATCCTTCGGTGTCTCCAGCCAGCTAGAAGGGGGATCTTTTGGATCCCAATCACGAAGACGTGAAGCACCTACTTTTCCTAAGTCTGCTGTACATTTTCTCATTCCTCGTTGCCACGTCATCTGTTGACCTCCATGAGGTCTCTTCCACTCACTAAGAGGAAAGGAAAATAGGACACGGTACGGTAGACGTGTACCTGACATACGTAACACGTGCCCCAACCAGCGAAGTCTACCAAGTCTACTAAGCTGAGTACGCTATGATAGAACGTTCTCTGAATTAGTGCCCAATACTCGCTTTCTGACCTCAACATCACTTACTCGGCTATTCCACCCAATCTTACTGATACTATGTAAACATCGATGGTCGGAAACCTCAAAACGACTAATATCTTCAGCACCAAGACTCCGAATCTGGCAACCATACAACAAAACTGAACTCACTGCTGCACAGTATACATGACCTTTCAACTTCAGTGAAATATCAGGTCACTGCCACAAGTGCTTCAGTCCAGCGTACGCCACTCGAGCCATGGATATCCGTGTACTCACCTCTACTACTGTGCTCTTATCCGTCGTCACACTGCTGCCGAGGTAGGTGAAGTGGTCGACAATTGCCAGCACCTTCTCATCGAGCATCAAGCTCGGAATAGTTGACGTCCAGTCTTGTAACATCACCTTGCAATTTGAAGGTGCAAAGCGCATGCCGAGTGGAGCTACAGCTTTTGCGAGATTATCTAGTGCATGTTGAGCATGTCCCATGGATTCGAACAAGCAGACAACATCTTTCGCGTAATCTAGGTCACACAGCTTTCCACTATTTCCTAGTTCGACGCATACACCCTGAAGATTTTGCAGCGCACTCTCCATTATTTCGTCCATGACGAAGTTGAACAGGAATGGAGACATGGGACATCCCTGTCGAACAGCACTGGTAGTTTCGAACCGACCGGATAGTTCACCGTAAACTCTAGTGCGGCAAGAAGGATGAGAATACAATGATCTCAGTAGGTTTACGAACTTCTGGGGCATACCTTTTCGATGAAGATCACTGAAAAATGCTCCTCGATCAACTGGATCGAAGGCTCCTTTCAGGTCTAAGGAAATCATTATTGTTGGTCGGCGGTGCGTGTAACGCGTTTCAAGTAGTTGGCGAAGACTAAAAATCTGGTCGATGCATCCTCGACCTGGGCAGAATCTAACCTGCTGTTCGCGAGCATTCCTCTTGCGAGTGGGCGTAAGACGGTACAGTAGAATCGAGGCTAATAATTTGGTGACAAGCGGAATTAAGCTGATCCCACGATGGTTACTACAATCATTGCGTATTCCCTTCTTGAAGATGGGAACAATCAATGAATCACTCCATATTAACGGAATAGGCTCCGCGTTCCAAATGTCACGGAGCAAGACGGTGAGTGATTTTATCAAGGCATTTCCACCCAGTTTGAAAAGAACTGGGGGAAGTTTGTCGGGACCTGCCGCTTTCCTTCGCTTTAGTAATCGAATACATGACTCTACTTCCACTTCCGATGAGGACTCAAGTGATACCACCCAAAAAATCGCTGTCGTTGACACAGGAGTAACTACATTAGCATGCGGCCAGCTAAACTGTTCCTTGAAGTATTCGGCCCAACGGTCCAGCCTTTTCTGCCTGCTATGGATGGGTTCTCCATTTCTATCGCAAATCGTTTCACTGACCTGAGTGCGCCATCCACCGGTGTCACGAATGAGTTCGAACAGTCTCTGACTGTTACCTGAAGCAGCTGATATTTCCATTTCTTCGGCTTCCTTGACCCACCAATTTTCGCGATCATTCTGAAGGCTTTTCGTAACTTGCCTTTGTGGCTTTCTCTGCATCTTATTCATCTCCTTACAGTTCGAGAGCTGGCGCTTTTGCTCCATTATACTCAGCGACTCTTGCGGGATCCAGTGTTTTTAACGGACAACGGATCTAGGATCACTGGCAAAACCTGCTGCCATGTGCATCGCCTGTTTGATATGAGCCCAATGCTCATCTACATTACTGTTCTTCATAGATCCTAGCTCATAAGCTAACTTCTGCTTATACCGTATTCGTACTTCTGGATCACACATACGTTGCACAGCTAATCGGGTTTGCGGTTTACGACGATGACCATGGAGCTGGAGAGATAATCGCATCATAACTAACGCATGGTCTGACTCTATGTACATGGACCAGTAAGATCTACAGTTCTGAACAGAACTGCGCCACCAGTAGCTTACGGCGATATGACCAATCTGGCTTAGAGTACCTGTAGAGTTAGAGCGCCATGTCGCTGTGTAGCCCGAGCTGTGTCGGAAATTGGTGCTAGACAAGAACAATCGATTGTCTGCACAAAATTGGAGAAGTCTATCCCCATTATCTGTACGCTCAACGGGTAAAGCACAACACCCAATTAAACAGGCTTCTGACACACTGAGTTTGCCAACTTGTGCATTGAAGTCACCAGCTAGCACTACAATGTCAGATCCCTTACTGCTGCGGACGAGGGTGCCGAGTTCATCATAGAACTCATCTTTCTGCAAGTCTGAGCTGCAGTCCGTTGGGGCGTACGTCGAGATCACAAATAAATCATGTTTAACACAACTATCCTTTCGGAAGCCAACTGACCCCTGGAGTCTCACAGCACATAAACGACTGTTAACAGGGATCCAGTCTAGAAGGACAGCCTCAGTCTTGTCAGTCAAGACTATTCCTACACCACGTTGACCCTCAGCTCGAGCTATTTCGTCTCCTGAAGTGCGCAGAAAATACCTCGATGAGATACCAGGAGCAGTTAGTTGAATTACACTGCTCGAATCCTGGATATGCGTTTCACTTAAGCAGCAGACATCAATCTTCAGAGAATCTAATGTGAGCGTTAGGCACGCCTGCTGACCGGTCTGCATGAGTGTACGCACGTTGAAGGAGCCAAGATTCAGAGGCTGATGATGCTTGAGAAAATATGAATTACTAGACAGAGGATAATTCCCGATACTATTTGACAGTGAATCGTTGCGAGTATCGACCGTGTTATCAGTGGGAGCAATATGGGTGGATAGATGGGGCAAAGAGAGGTGGTTGAGGGCAGAAGACAAAGGTTGAATAAAAGAGAGGGAACTCTGATCAGTAGCCCACTTATCACTACCCACCCCACTCGATGCAATGGTCAGCGTGGTCCTGATTATCCTGCGAGCCGACCGATGCAGTATGGAATTCTTTGTATTTGTGCAGTTCATGGGAGATGTTTGATGGGTATTGCTAGGGTGTCCAGCCACAAAGCAGGAGAACGATTAGGGTCCTCATCCAAAGCCTTTAGTTCTAACAAGAACCTATCTGCAAGGCAGCTGGATGGCTTAGTGGATGCCTATTTGTTCGGATCAATTATTCTTCCACTGATTTTGCCGACTGAGTGGCCAGCTCAAATGTGTGGTGAAAGAATTGGGTCATGGTCAGGTACGTCAGACTGCACTACCGCGTGAAATACGCGGACCTGTAATTGGCTACTGTTAACAAAGCACTTATTTTCAGGAAGATTCTCGACTCCCTAAAGAAAGCGTAACAGAGACGTTCAAAATCATTTGCTACAATTCCGAGCCACAATCCGTCAGCTAACGCAACATCATACAGAGCAAAAGTGCTCCTCTAGCCATCTCAGCAATCGCTGATGCAGGACCATTGAGGTTTGCGGATAACGTTTCCGTAATATGTCGATGGAAAAACCTCCTGTGTCGATAATGAGAAAGGAATGTTGTATATCGAACCACACCGTGAAGTGATTGTACATTTCCTTTTTATTCATTATTTTTGCTTGAACAACGTGGTCCAGTCGAGTGTGAAGCGCGAACCAAATCCAAATGAAACTTGCATCTGTGGTATCAGTCATCGAAGTGATATATCTCTTCGTTTTACTCAATCAGATTTGGTGAGGATGGTGTACTAACACTGTACTTCTAATTGGATTTTATGCGTTACATTAGGCCAGTTTTATTACGCTTATTGATGATTTATTCGCTTCTCTGATTTCGTAATGGGATTGACTGGTTTCCTAAGGTTTACACCTCGTTGCTGACAATCACATTGCTTACAACGAAAATCCTTATTTCTGAACTCGTTATGTAGTACGTGAACAAAACTCAGACAAGAAAGCATGTGTACAGCATAGAACTCACCTGCCCCTTTGTAGAATTTTGGTTTTTTTTATTACTAATCTGCTTACTGAGTAGTGTTACGGTGGTCCCTTTGATACTTTTCTCCCCGTGGAATGATCTCGTATTTTGAACACTGCAAACACAAGAAGTCGGTAGAAATCAAGAAAGAAACGCCCAGGGAGCTGGAATTTACTCTTCTTCTTCGTTTAGTCGCATACGGTAAGGAGTTAAGGGAGAGGGTGTTGTTGAAGACCAGTTGGTTTCATCCTGATTAGGAAAAACTGATGGTGCACGTTCATTGAGGTCGAACTGGGACTCGAATACGAGGAGCACGGCTGTGAGCCAAACACCAGGCTATGCGGTTTGCTTCCTAGCGGTTTGCCTTGCATCAACACTACTTGACACAAAGTCAATCCGCCATTAGCTTAGAAGCAGAGTGCACAAAAATGACCAAAAAATCTTCAGCACGCATCGTCAAAAGTTGAAATATTTCATAAACAAATAAGTTTAGTTAGTCTTACCTTAGAGAACACTCTGTGTGCGCATTCAAGCAAAGAACCACGAAGACATCCGGTGGAGATTAGCAAGGAAAACGCGCGTTGGGAATCACTGATTTGACGGGCTCGCAACATCGCCTCAACACCCGATCTAGTTAGATGATTGCGTATTGCGTAGAAGTACATTATTTCACCTTCCTCTATCGCTTGACCAGAACCGAACATAGACAAAGGTGCCGCCATCAGACATTCACGAGGATACATTCGGGCAACAAGCTGAGAGGGTAAAATTCAGTTAGAAGGGATGAGGTTTCCTCCATCATCGCAAACGTTTGCCGATCCGAAATTATTTGTTGCAATGAAGACAGCTAGAAACGTAATCAAGTTATTCCATTAAAGCTACTCCAATTTCCGAACAATACCCCAGGTGAAATATGCACCGAAAACCAAACCTTTTACACTAGTGATGATAGTTCGGACTTCGATAACTGGGACCAGCACTACTGCCGTAGTCCACGAGACGCGCTCGAATAGCAGTCCATTCGCTGATACCAGCTCCTTCGGGCATCAACAAAAGTAACTGTATGCTACAAACATACTTGCTTTGCAAAATAGCTGTCTTGTCCACTTGAAGACAGTCACTATCCAGACAGAGGAGCAGTGGTGAGGTTTGCATGCCGCCTTTTACCTTGCTGAGCTTAGGTTGTTGGACACAGAGGCGTTATTAATCCACAATTGCCCGTAGTTCTGTTTTCAGCAGTCGACTACTTACCAAGTAGTATATACACACCACCACACTACCTTTACGTTGTTAATTTGGGTAGTCATTGGTGTGGATGCCAGTATGCCATGCATTGATTGTAATACTGTACGGATTTATAATCTCACTCAGCTAGTTATTTATTCCAGTTAGGTGCATAATATGCGTAGAAAAAAATTACTGTTAGTAGTAAATGGTTTTCTTTTTTATTACAGATACTATATTTATTCGACGTGGCATTATTTTAACTATCCATATCCTAAATAAACTAGGAAATAGTTTAAAATCAGCGAATAAATATTGTGGAATAAATTTTCTGGTGTGAGCAGTCGAGAGCTCTGTCGTACCGAATGGTCAATTTTCTGTCCTCTAGAGTTTAGCCTCCAGTGCAATTCTTGCATTCAGTTAAGTACTACCAATTAGTAAGTCTGTGATTTTATGCTCTGGTTTTGGATGCCACCTCGCCTAGTCAACAGTGAAATGGATTGAAGCATAACAAGTGAAAAAACAAAGATGGAGTTGATAGATGGAAAAATAAATTGAAGACAACTGAGCCGCTGACCGCTGCGTGTAGACAAGTCGCTCAGCCTACAGCTGTCCCGTGGGTGGATCCTGTGGACCACAACGCGCGGGTCTTACACACCCTACTCGATCACGTACACCCGTTAGACTTTGCACAACCTTTCGCCGTATGAAGGCAACGATGCTTCATGATATATCCGAACACTGAATGGGGCGTGACTGCCCAAGTAACAAAACTTATGTTTTCAGGTTAAGGCTTCCCCATGATCATGACATCAATTAGTTCAATGAACAGTGGCAGCAAATGAAATGGTGCTGCTGATCGAGAAGCTGACAGAAACTAAATGAACGAACTGGAAAGAAATTAAATTGCTATCTCGTTTTTTTCACCGGTTATTTCTATGAAACGGACAGTCTGGTAGGATGTGGGACCATGGAACCAGGTCACGTTGTGGCACGAATAGCGGTACTTTGAGCTTATCACATGTAGAGCAGTCAGAACAGCCGTGGGACGAACAGGCTGGTAGATAATCTGCTAACCGAACCACGAATGATATCGGTCTTCCAGACAGGTCATAAAAGAGCACACTATTAAATAAATGTTTCAGTAGTACTGGAATCTGTAGTTTTTTTACAAGGGGGTTTTAACTAGCAAAAACGAAAGATGACAATATTACCAAGCATCGTAATTCGTAGGCATAAATGATTCGTGAGGTACTGTTAGGTGGCAATTTCAGGGAATGTTCGGAAGGATGCCTCGTATGGTCTACTAAAAACTGGGTTTGAACTCCTCTTGGGCAGTAAAAACTTTTACTTGGATTACGCAATTGAAATCGTCTATCACAGATATTACCACATGCTTTGAAAGACGTGAAGACTGGGGGTTCAAATATCTCATTTGCATTTCCCACCTAAAGTGAAGTTGATTTTCCAACAATTGCAAAAGCTTGTGGTAAGCATTAGGCATTTCTTTAAAGTATTGGGAGCAACAGGAGCCACATTTGAACGGGAGGTGGTACTGAAGAGAAAATATTACTCATAGTCAAGGCCAGACTAACTTCGAGAAACAGAGACCAATATAGCGGCAAAAAGACATTGGACCGCCAACGTAGGCATGATTGTTAAATGTCAAAGTGTTCAGTGTTCTGCTCTACGATTGCGAATCCCGGTCACTCCACACTGAAGACACTCAGCAATATTCCACACATGACCACAGATCTCCGAAGTATTACTCTCGTTTGGTGGAAACACCATGTGGGTAGTAATGAAGTTTGTCATCTTATTCTAGGTGTGGATGACAACACTCTAACATAAGTATTCACTCCACACAACCTCCGGTGGCTTGGACACGGTTTACATATGCCTATTCATTGTCTACCCTCCCATGTGCTACTGACGCTTCCTGATTATGGTTAGAAGAAGTGACATAGCGGTCAGACCATGACTTAGTGTAGGGGTGTGAACAAGTTGACGTCGGCACTGGCCTCAATTCATGATTCCTGATTCCTTGTTTGGGATCCAAGAGAAGAGGACTGTCGTTGGCTAGAAACTTTATGGGAGACGGCCCAAAACCGGAGTCAATGGTACGAATGTTGTATGGTGTGCTTAGGAAATTCTCGAGCCCCATAACTATCGAATAAAATGTAAATAACAACAAACAATGTAAAAACGCTTGCGGTATAACAATGAAGAGGACATTTGTTTACACTTGTATTCGCCTCCTTATAACCTAACTCACTACGATTCACACAACGCAAAGACCTATCAAATTGCAGCAATGGATCACATTTCCCGAACGAACGTCGGTTGTGAGTAAGAATTATTCATTGATGTTGAGGATTCGAGAATTCTACTGTACAGTGTTAAAGTTTCTATCGTTGCATTCTCAAAATCAGAATCAAGATTTAAAAAAATACTCGATGTGATAGATCACATAATGTTTGATCATTCAATTGGGGCTTAGAAGATGAAAGATTTTCTGATCTGATCGGATCTGATTTGATCTGATTGCTTAAGTTTCTTGTGTTTATAAAATGGGTACTGAAACAAAATAAAGTTGGTCGGAAAGAATTACTGAGAATGGCATTTTATAATTTAGTCTGAGATATTTTGTTAGTTGGTCTGACAGAGAAGAACAAATAGCGCAAAATGTGTGGGTTTTCAACGATGCTGTCAATTGAAGGGGAGTGTCCAGTGGACGAATGCATGAAGATTATCTGAATCTACGTGAAGTTTAGTTCAGTTCAGTACGTGTGATCGACTGAAAGGATAGAGGCGAACACATTTTGAAGCCACTTCGGATCGGAATAATCTTGAAATAGCTAATTATGATTAGAATCATACTGATTTTCGGCAACTCCATCTTCTCGCATATGCAATTATAGATAAATTCAAGTTAATACTTTGATCACACCGACAGTTTAGTATTCAGCTTCAATCGAATCTCAGCATTCAATAAAAATGACTAAGAATGCCTCTGACAACGCTTGTTGAACGAAACTCATCGGAAAGCCGAGAATTAGCGATTAAGATATGGGACAGAATAGTAGTCTTTTCAGTCGTTCGAATTATCGTCAGAACATCTAAATCTATATTTGAAGAACTGGATGTCCGCGATGAAAGTGTCAAATGTATACTGCTGCATTTAGATCCGTAGTTCTATATAGGTCACAAACATGGCCGTTGATTGTTGAAGACAGGCGAAGACTGTCGGTGTTCGACCATCGATATCTCTGTAGTATTGCTCGAAAATGGTGGAAAACCCCATATCGGCAATGCTGAGGTCAAGTTTAGGATGTTGTGCATGCCTGCTGATGACCTTAATCAGCCTATTACTTTCTCCAAATGCCTAATTCTGGTCGAATGTGGGCGAAAATTGCATATACTGGAAGGTCCAGAAGTGGTTGCAAGGCCGGAAGTATGATTGCTCAGATTTTGCACCGACTGTGGTCGAGATGGGCAAATGTATTACCCTCGGAACCACCGTGTGCACAAGCCTCAATGGATCTGAGGAAGCGATCTTGTATCTGTAGTCAGGCTTGCGGTGGAACTGTTAGCGTTTTTTTTAATGCTTTTCTTATCTTCCTGTTTGAAACTGTTTGTTAATTTCCCAGTTTAACTGAAGTGCTTTTTGTTTAAATCGCACTTTTCTATGCCCGAGTATTTTTGACGGGACTTCCCAGAACCATTACTACCGGTACTCTTGGAGAATTTTAGGTGTACCTTTCGTTCATTTTATTTGCTGATGTGCATTAACTATAGAATTGTGTTCAGTATCAGTCACGTCTATTGACTGTGCGTCTACTAGGCGGATGGGACACGAGGCAAACTGACTCAAGCGAAAGAAACCTAGAAAGCGAAGGAGCGGTTAGGATCATAACAACGGAGAGGAAGGCAAACCTAAAAGCTTTATCAACTGTGGTCGAATTTATATATACAGTAGTAGCGAAACCGGTCGTGTGCTTCCGGGGGAATTTTGTCCACGCGTTTACATACTACATACTATCAATATGAGCGCTTGCACATGCAGCCTCGTTGTTCGTTGGGTTAGCAGTGACCTAGACACGAATAGCTATGAGAAATCACAGTTGTGATTCATTTGTGAGCTCTTCAATGAAGAGTATCCATTCACACTCCAGACGATTCAAATTAGATTCTAGTGAACATACAACATCGGAGTGTACAAGTATGAGGACCAGTGGGTACCGGGTACGCGTACGAGTGGTAACAACCGCGAAGCCGATCGTGTGCTTTCAGGGAGGTTTTGTCCACTCGTTTACATACTACATACCGTTCTTTGATGCTGGTAGTGGTCGGGACCTAGTTCATGGAGGTTATTCTATAAAATGCAAAAAAGGTATTAAGACCTCAACCTGTGGAACTGATCATGAAGGATGTGTTACCCTTTCGGGTTGGGGTCCACGAGACCCGCCTATCAGATAGCTGGAAACATAAGGTGATATGTCTAGGCATCCGGGATAGTGGTGTAGTTACTTTCGAGGTCTTTCTTTGCCGTCGTCATTTCCGCTTACTTTGGTCTCGTATTTTTCACTTTATATTTCTATTCAATCTGCCCTCATCTGAAAGGTGCTGCTAGGTAGCAACCAAAACCAGCTAACAGAAGTATGAGGTTTACGGGCGAATGAGCTGAACTTTTATAAATGATTGAAAGGAATGCTTAGAATTGGACTTGAAAAATTTTGAGATTGAACTCATTGCATCATTGTTAGAAAAATAATCAGAATTTAGGGATATTTTTGGAACCACCTAAAACACCGGACAGTATATTTGGACTCATCGTGGCCAAGCTTAATAACCAAGGCTGAAATAAGACGAAATTTTTCCACTTTTGTAAAACATCTTCCCTTCATTCCCTTCCGTTTTCTCTGTTTTCTTTATCGTAGATTTTTCATTTGTTTACTTGATAGTCAGCAAGCAGTAATGAAGTTTTTACTGTATATTCGAACTAAAATCAAATCGATTTACGAATACGAGTATTGACTAAGAGAGCCCAGAAAACTTTCGCTGCATTCCGTGCTAAATTCTCGTGTTGTGATCAGGTTCTATTTCGAAAAGCGAATTCCATAACTAATCCAGCTAGTCCAGACTTGAATCAAAGTGCTCAGTATGGCGATTTCAAACTTACTAAAAACTGAGCCGGTTGAACTGGGTTAGTTACACCACCGGTGACCGCTTCTGTCTCACCGCTGGCTGTACTGACCAGAGGTTCATTTGAGCTGATCATCGATTCACGAACAGATGGCACTTTTTGTAGCGCTTGCCGATCAAGGTCCACATTGGTGGATTGTCTTCGTGCTTGTCCACCCAGATCTGAAACTCCAAGCACTGTGAAAGTTCCAGCCTCTGTGAATGATGCTTGAGCAGATTCTGAGCGTTGTTTTTGTTTTTGTAACACGGTGGTTCCGTAAGTGGTTGGTACTTTGAACAGACGACGATCACTCACAATCAATTTGTAGAATGCCACACCAAACGGAGTACCATAAGGGTCCGAACTGCCACCACTACCTGAATCGCCTAGGAGGCCCTTGAGTAAGCTATCATGTAGGGATGAATCACGCGATAGGAATTCTTCAATGGCTGCTACGGGATCGTTAAAGTTCAGATTTTTGCAGACGATACTAAGAAAAGTTCGACTTGCATCGTGAGACAACATCTTATTGTAATTCACATTACAATGTCCAGTCCTCACCACTTCTTTGCCACAAAAGTGGACACAGGATTTGAAATTTACAGAGTGTGATGATAAAATCGATGCACATGACTTCCTTATGGATAAATTTATCCAAGTAAGTCAGGTGACCAACTATGAACAATGTGAAGTTTTGCCACAAGTTTTATTTCATTTTCCACTAATCTTTAAACAATGTAAACAAATCCTAACCATTTTATAATCAATAAAATCAGAGTGGCATCAGAGAAGCTGTTCATTCTCAGGGGAAATTCAATTCTAATTAAGGTCTTATTGAACGCAATTCGTGCGGAAGCTTGAACGATAGAAATTTAAGTGAATATCGAAACAGGTGCAGGAAAGGTCTATTTGATCACACGATTCAGACAGTTGTATAAGCTCTCGAGTAGACGACAGTAGAGGGGCGGTCTATGTACTTAATTTTAAAATGACGGATTGAAAAAGATGGTGTGTACAGAAGATAGTCACCTGTCTACTGTAAGACGTTATACAGTAGAAAACTACGCCTATAGTCTCCATTTAAGTTAATGATGCTTTCGATTGGAAGACAATGTTTGATTCTACAGCCTCGTTTCTTGAGTACTTTTTCATTAGTTTCGTGGAATAAAGTTGAATATAAGGCACTTGACTGAAGGCACCCATGAATAACACGCTGCATTTTCCGACTGAAGTAATTAGATCAACTGTCAGCTTAGAGCCTAATGACTGGGAAGGTACAAATCTCGTGGTGAGCGTGGAGGGAGCTTTTGATTCCTGTATGGAGAACAAAATTGATTGTGCAGACCAATGATGTGTCGCAGCTTAACCACATCAATAGTGGTCAGGATCCATCTCCACAGCCTCCCTTCGTGACTCAGAAATTATATGCGCATCAATCTCCCCTGAGCTGCTAGCAACCCAAAGACGTTTCCTAGACCGCCTGAAATCTAACACAAAAAGCATGTGATACTTCACCAACATCTGGCGCAAAACTTCGTAATTTTACCGGATACGTGTACGCTGATTACACGCATACCCGATCGACCCAAAGTGATTCAGAAACAGCAGATAGGGAACAGGGAGGAGGGTTTATTGACGGCGGTGAGTTGTTCGAAATCCGTTCTAAATGTGAAAGAGATTGAAAACCTGAAAAGCAAATTACAATCAACAATGGATAACGCTGATAATCAAAGAGCTGCTTCAGCGGAAGACCAATAAAAAGAAAAGACCAGCAGCGGACTGAATAAACAAACTTTGGATGAATTAAACAAATCAGTTATAAGAAAATCTGAACAGACAGCAGCTGAGTTATTCTTGCGCGGTATCATCTGAGAAATCGATGAATGACGGAATATCTGTGTTAATTGATAACCTACGCATATGAAGTTCACAAAAAGATGACTTTTGGTTTGGTAGAACTCGTACATGGTCTACGTAATTAACAATCCCACACATTCCCGTACACAGTTCAAATATCCCAACCATAGAGTGGCAGGCTGAAAAGATGAACTGATTACACTAACGTAGACCTTGGCGTGAGAATAGAGTAGGATTAGCAAACTGCTTGGGGGACAAAGGAACATCTAATTGTAGGCTTAACTGGGAATCGATGGAACTGTGAAATCTGAAGACAAATGCTCGCGCAATTGGCAAAATCAAACGATCACGGAAGGTCAGTGTTGAACTTCACTCCAAAGCGATCAATATGTTGATCTGTGGGCAAGTTAAAGGAATTAACAGTAGAAGAATCACTGGGAAAAGCTGCGAGATACATCACGAACAATTGGAATAGTTAAGGAAAAGAACACTTCGTTGAGATAAAAAAACAATGTTTTGAAGATTATAAGATAAGTGGTTAAAAGCCTCTTCATCCGATACAGTATGAATCGTAGCTACATCCAAATTGTTCTTCAGAAGATATTCCGTAAGCCATATCAATAAACTTGGTAGGAAATCCAACGAATGAAGGTTCTGAAAATTCTTCAGCCATAGAGGATTCCGAAAAACGTTACAATTCTAGTCTAACTTTTCAAAGAATTATAAAACAAAATGACATAATCAATAAGTTACTCTCATTCGACTTATTCGATCCTTACACTATTGCATGTTTCTTTGGAAATTCATGCAATTCCACATGGTACACAGAGTAGAGTGGGCGAATCAAGTTGGGGAGAAGAGTTACAGTTTTCGTCACATCATCGGGTCAAAATGTGATTTACTTAATTGCGAATGAGGCAAAAAGTGGCCCGTTGATTCTTATTTCTGATGCTATCCGTAATCGATTCCATTAAGATAACGGGCAAACCCAATAAGTTCTAAGGATCGTGTGGACATCTGGGTAGATATTTTTTGTCCATTCGGAGGACGTAGATCATTTCCGTGACAGTGAACACTAGTAAACAACGTTGTCATTGATCCTCTGATTGAGAGCATCCCACACAGTTTCTATCGTTGAACAATGGTGTCCATTGTACATTTTTTGCTACCGTGAATATTGTCAGTAGTATAAACGGAAAGTTGACCGTATGTCAGGATTTCGGCCGAATTGAATTGATTCCGAATTCTTTGGAGATACTTTTCAGTGGACACCGGAAAAAGTGGATGAACCAGCCAATGATGTTTCAGCCGAACAGTCTGTCAGAGTATCAGTTTGTAAAATTATGACTACGTATTCTGTATCAATGACAGTCGCGCGGATGGCGGATAAATTCAAGAGAAAAGAATCCAATCAAACTCAAGATTGTACGGGCACGTGTGAGCACTCAAAGTTGTTGACCGAACCAATGGGAACAGGTGATTTAAGAAGGACCGACGACTAACAAAACCCGTTGGGAGTGGTCATCCGTGGTTCGATTTACCAAACGGGTTTGTTCGACATAAATAACGATGCTAAGTAGAGCTGTATGTGTGTTTGTGTATGTGTATGCGTGTGTTTATGTGTGTAAGTATGTGTGTGTGTGTGTGTTTATGTGTACTTTGTCGTCGGTGATTCAGAAACGATACACTGTTGATTCCCACGAAGAGGAATCAGGGTTTTTCTCCCAAGTAAACTCAAAAAATTGTCGCGAACACCAATCCCGACAAATTTTCTTTCTTTACTGCATGGTGAACTTAACCATTCATTTGTATTATGTTGTATTTATTTCTCTGAGTGCTTTCTGTAAACTCTCCTAGGTACAAATCTACTGAAGTATGAGGATGAAAAGCTTTGGTGTTTTTCAGAATTGTACCGTTAGTTCGGAAGAACTGACAAGGAGAGATGGACTTGGCTATCTACTGACGGGAGCCGGTGAACCAGTGTGCGCCATACTTCTCGAAACAAAAACCAGAAAAGCGGGTGATTCAAAGTAAGTTTATGTAAACAAGAAATATATGGGCAACCAGTACACTGGTAAGGATGGATCTAATGTGAATTCCTAATCTGCAGATAACCACCGAGCACTACTGGTCTTGTTTAGTGAAGTTTGCATTATAGTGTGACTGATGAGAGTTATTAGTATATGGTGCAGCAAAAGGCAGCCTAGTTGAGTAGTTGATTATCTTTGCACCAGAATATAGGTCGCTTTCTGAAACTAGACAGAATAGTGATTCTAATAGCGGCGAAGTCTCAAAGGACAATGCACATAAGATGAAAACCTGATTCCAAATCGGGATGAGCTACTGGAGAGCACCTGGTGTTTTATAGGCAAACCTGGTTACGCATGACTATGTTAAAGCAGATGCAACCCCAAAGTCTAGGCTAGAAAATGCACTCTTCATTTTAATACCAATAAGCAACCACCATAATATTAGTGTTGGCAGAAAATCACATTTCTGTAAATAAGCCTAAATATTTTCTGAACAATCCCTTTGCAATATAGAGAAAAAGAACGACAGCAGTATCTTTTCCGGGTAGTTCAGGATTGGAGAACCATCATATTCGAAATCTTATTACCCAGAGGATGAAGTTACTGAAAACCAACACGTTTTGCACTATGCTTTCATTTCCGTCTGACCAACTAACAAAATATCTCAGACTAAATTATCAAAAGCCATTCTCAGTAATTCTTTCCGACCAACTTTATTTTGTTTCAGTACCCATTTTATAAACACAACAAACTTAAGCAATCAGATCAGATAATCCTTCATCTCCTAAGCCCCAATTGAATGATCAAACATTATGTGATCTATCACATCGAGTATTTTTTTGAATCTTGATTCCGATTTTGAGAATGCAACGATAGAAACTTTAACACTGTACAGTAGAATTCTCGAATCCTCAACATCAATGAATAATTCTTACTCACAACCGACGTTCGTTCGGGAAATGTGATCCATTGCTGCAATTTGATAGGTCTTTGCGTTGTGTGAATCGTAGTGAGTTAGGTTATAAGGAGGCGAATACAAGTGTAAACAAATGTCCTCTTCATTGTTATACCGCAAGCGTTTTTACATTGTTTGTTGTTATTTAAATTTTATTCGATAGTTATGGGGCTCGAGAATTTCCTAAGCACACCATACAACATTCGTACCATTGGCTCCGGTTTTGGGCCGTCTCCTATAAAGTTTCTAGCCAACGACAGTCCTCTTCTCTTGGATCCCAAACAAGGAATCAGGAATCATGAACTGAGGCCAGTGCCGACGTCAACTTGTTCATACCCCTACACTAAGTCATGGTCTGACCGCTATGTCACTTCTTCTAACCATAATCAGGAAGCGTCAGTAGCACATGGGAGGGTAGACAATGAATAGGCATATGTAAACCGTGTCCAAGCCACCGGAGGTTGTGTGGAGTGAATACTTATGTTAGAGTGTTGTCATCCCCACCCAGAATAAGATGACAAACCTCATTACTACCCACATGGTGTTTCCACCAAACGAGAGTAATACTTCGGAGATCTGTGGTCATGTGTGGAATATTGCTGAGCGTCTTCAGTGTGGAGTGACCGGGATTCGCAATCGTAGAGCAGAACACTGAACACTGTTTCATTGTGTACGGATTCCAT